GCTGTGGAACTATAGTCAACTGTAACACAGCAAGAAAACAATCTATTAGAGGGTATTTGTTTTTATCCTGGACTATGTATGTTCCTTTCTGTGATCTGTACCTCTTTTTTAAATTAAATGTATTTCTTGTATTTTCATGTCAAAGTTTTTAATATTTGTTTAGACAAGTACACAATGAAATCTGAGAATATGAAAGAGCATCTGACATCTTTTAGTGTCATGTAAAAATAGATAATTGAAATTATTTTTTAAGAGGTTAAACTGTTAACAAGTAGAACCCAGGTCCTAATACAGAGTTCAGTGTTTTATGTCCTTTTATTACTTGTTGAAAGGCTTCCTCGTTTTCATCAGTGTAAGTATTTTGGAGTAGTTGACAGACAACCTTTTTTCTACACCAAAGCTCATTAATGCAGATTTCATGGTTCTGAAAGGAGGTGTGCTTTTATAAAACATCTCATGCAGTGATATTATTATTATTATTTTCTCTTTTTCTGATTTCTGTTTCCAGAAATAATTCAAACTTGAACTCATTTAAAAGGAGATAATTTATTAAATTTGCATTGACAGGCACTTCTGTTTGCTTTTTTCCTGGAACTGGGAGTGGCTACTCAGGATGATCTTTGTCCTTGCTCTTTTCTGTATTGAAGCAGAAACCAGTTCAACTGAACTGTAAATGCAATATGGGAAGAATTGGAAACTTTGCCTTCAGGCCATACACATGCTCACGTGCATGACCAGAGAAAAGCAGACCTCATCTGTACTTTGGGGAATCTCTTCACTCTATTAATTATTGAGTAGCTGGCAAAGGTCATTTCAGTTTTATATAGTAATTTCCAAAAAAAAAAAAAAAACAAACTGTTAGATGTTATGAAGAAAGATTTAAAAATGCGCAATTATGCCACTTACTAAATTGGTCATTCTCCCAGATGTTGCATGTTTTATGCTTTTTTGGTCTCCTTATATCTGCAAGATAGCTAGAGACTAGGCAAGATTTCACAAATAGTCTGATTTAGCTTGGAAGAAAGATGACTTGGTGGTTATGTATGTCATATATAAAATAATGAGTGTCATGAAAAACTGAATAGAATGCGGTTGAGCTCCTCTTTGGTAGCACAAGAAAACATTCCATTGAATTGAGGCTGATATTTTTATAGCCACAAATTTACTTTTACACAAAGCATAAGTAACCCCTGCCCCCTTTGATTTGGGATGCAAAAATGCATTTGTGTGTCTCCTCCCCCTCTATTCTGCCTTGGTGAGGCCGCATCTGGAGTATTGTGTCCAGTTCTGGGCCCCTCAGTTCAAGAAGGACAGGCAAGTGCTTGAAAAAGTCCAGCGCAGAGCTACTAAGATGATTAAGGGAGTGGAACATCTCCCTTATGAGGAAAGGCTGAGGGAGCTGGGTCTCTTTAGCTTGGAGAAAAGGAGACTGAGGGGTGACCTCATCAATGTTTACAAATATGTAAGGGGTGAGTGTCAGGGGGACGGAGTTAGGCTTTTCTCAGTGATGACCAGTGATAGGACAAGGGGTAATGGGTGTAAATTGGAGCATAGGAGGTTCAAGGTGAATATCCAAAAAAATTTTTTTACTGTAAGTGACAGAGCACTGGAACAGGCTGCCCAGGGAGGTTGTGGAGTCTCCTTCACTGGAGACATTCAAAACCCACGTGGATGCGTTCCTGTGTGATGTGCTCTAGGTGACCCTGCTCTGGCAGGGGGGTTGGACTAGATGATCTTTCAAGGTCCCTTCCAGCCCCTAAGATTCTATGAAAAAGAAAGCAATTCAACAGATCTGCGTAGAAGCATTGACTGGTAATAAACTATAATACAGATACTGGCTTAAAAGTCTGAGAAGGTATCCTGGCACCCTTGGTGCTGTTAGTTCTTTTTCTTGCACTTTTTTCTTAAGAATTTATTGCAGGTTGCTCCCAGGTAAGGTAATTGAGAGACTCTTGGTCTTGCCTTTAAGTTATTGTGATACTGCTGTTGTCAATAGTATGGTTGGTTATGGAAGTGGTCTTAGGTAGGTTGAAGGTGTAAGGGACAGGATTCAGAGTGTGGGTGGGAGGAGGCTGTAAAACCTCGCACATGGGCTCATCTTGAAGTCTGAAGGGTTTCAGTAGTAGTATAATTTTACCTCTTCGTCTAACAGCAAGTTTTTTGCTTTAGGAAAAAGTAATGCATGTTAATGTCACATGCCTTGTTCTTTTTGTGACAGTCTTTGCACAGGAGGGTGATGGCAGTGAGTATGCCTGTTGAAGTAAGGAGCCAGCTGCAGGCTGTATCAGCATTTAGTATATCAACATACAGCCTTCAGGACCTTCCTCATGCCAGAAAATATCATTTTGGAAGGGTTCAGGGTATGACTTTGAATTCACTATTTGAAGTGTCTTCTGTATGCCACCTGAAGAGAAGTGGGTGGAGATTAATTTAAGCCTCTTGCTTTTACTGCAACCTCAGTTCAGAGCTTCCCAGTAACTGTGACACCCACAAGTGAGATTGTTTCAGAATAAAGGTTACAGAAATATCAAAATAATTGAGAGAAGGTTTGAGATTATATGGAAGTCATTCCTTTAACAAATGTAAAGTTTTCTGATTAGCAGTGCCTAATTTCTGCTAACTCTGCAAGTATGATGTTTGCAGGACTCAAACGCCAGTCCAAAATGTCATGTGTAGAAGTTGCACTAACGTGTCTAAGAACATGTTAAATACTGCTCCTTAATGAACTGCTCTGGTCACTGAATAGTAACAATGACATCAAAATAGGAGGTTAGGAGACCTGGGTCTTCTGCAGAATCTTTTTTAAATTGGCGGTTGGAGTTTTGCAGAGAGTTTCACCATGATTTGGTTGTGCTGAAATATAAGATGTCTTGCAGCAACACCAGTTTTGCAAACTATTGATGTGCTTTCCCTTTCCAAAGGTACTGGGAACCTTTTTAGTGAAGTGGAACCTGAGTATAGTACTTCTGTGTTGGGTTTATTTTTGTTGTGTACTCAGACCTAGTTCCTATTTAAAACTGTAATTCTGTGGTGTTCACTTATTTATATATCTAAATCCAGAGAACAGTTCTCTGTGGGCTTTGCTCTGATTGAGACAATGTTTCATATTGCTGTGAATTGTTCTCAGGGCTATAAAATCAACTTCTTAAACTATATGACTTCTGTCAATAGTTTGTTATGGCTTAATTGCTATACAGTTTGTTCTGAAAAGCGTATTTATTCAGCAGGCAATGAATCTTGTTTAAATATAGTCAACTGCATTGACTTTGTCCCTGTTTTTATCTTCTACTTGCTACTCAAACATTTGGTAGCAGCCTCAGAAGGTCACATCTAAAGGAGTTCTGTACCTGTGCTGAGATCAGCATGGTGGGAAGACTGTTCTGCCTGCAGCAGATGTTCCAGAATTCTCTCACTACACACTGAAAAATTACCCTTTAATATAAAAGCTGATGATGATAGGTTAGCACTTTTGCTGTTTGCAGTGCATGATGCTTAGTAGCTTGTGATAACTGGGTGTGATGCTTAGAGAGCTCCCAGTGTTACATGCATGGCCATGTCCACTCCATTTTTGCCTCATCATGACTGGTAGTTTGTAAGGATTGGGAGGCTGCTTGTTGTTATTCTGCCTCCAGAAATGTGATCGTGGCTCACAGCTTAGGTGCAAAAATGTTTCCCACTTTCCAAGCTCCCCTGCATAACATTAGCATCTATTTCCAGAAAGAAAAAAATTATATGAAAATGAGAGGATTTATCAGAGAGAATGACCCAGAGGATAAAAAGGTGGTGATTCCTTTTAGTATTCCTCATGTGTTTGTGTTTGCATCTGGTTAGGTAAGATGATTTAAGTAAAGAGACCATAGCAGAAAAACTCTTGTGGTGGTGGTGATATTTTCTGTGGAGGAGTTAATGGAATACTGGATGTACTAGTATTATGAGTCTTTTTAGTCTCAGCTTGGCTGTATTGGAGCAGGTGAGGAATTATGGGCACATAGGGGAGGTGAGGCACGTGGAAAGATCAAGCCAACCTGCGGCCTAGAATCTGGTCATTATTTTAGCAGCAAGTTTTTAAATTGCTGTGAAGTGTGGAATCCCTTTCATCAGCTGCATGCAGTTTCTCCACTCTTCCATCTATTCTGATTCAGCTTGTTTGTATTGCCCTTTTGTGAACTGAATCTGGGAAGTGATCATTTAAAAGCAAAAATGCCCTTTGCAGGGACCTTTTTTTCAAATAAGATTATTTCAGGGTTTTGTTTTTTTTTATCAGAGATCAAATAGCTTCTGGCACATGCACCATAGTTGCTCAGTTTCTTTCTGTTCTTCACTCTGTTTATGCCACTTTTATTTGATAGAGTTTTGTTTGTTTTTTACAGTGACTACAGTTCCTGTCTCACCTCTTTGATGGAAGAGGACTATGACCCAGAAGTGAATTCTTCACTGTAGAACAAGAAGCTCTTGTGGAATAATCTGTGTCCCTTTAAAAGCAGCACCCAATCTACAGAAAAATAGAGTAGAAGAGATTATTTTTGGACCTAGCATTTTTTTGTTCATGTGACCTATGTTTCAGCATGTAAATGGTGAAAAACAGGGAGATAAACATTTGTGCCTGCTTTTGAGCTTTATAGCAAGTAGTGCTTAGCTCTGTGGAGTGTTAACCAAGTTACGTGAAGACCAGAGTATATCCTAACATTCATTTTTTAAAATATTATACCTTTTTTTAGCAGATATATGTGATAAAAATGAAGTTTATATTTTAAGAGCACTTGGGCAGATTCTTCTTGTTTAGATCTCAGCATTTGGGGCAAACATTTTTATGTAAAACATCCTTTTTCCAGAGTGTTCAGGTTGATCTGCTGCAGATCATGCATTATCCAGCAGACTTGAGTGTATCTGTTCAGTATTAACCATGGTGTTGCTCTGAATGTTGTCATGCAGACTTGACAAACCTTTTTGTAATGTTCAGGCTGACTTCTCTGCTACCACGACCAGAGGAAATTTAATGAGGTGAACGTGGTTGTGGCTTTTTTTTTTAATATAGCTTACCTTCTTAGGTATTTTTTTTGGTAGTGAGAGTGCAAAGAGAGGTTAAAATGAGCAGCTGAGGGGGTGAAGGGCACAGTTGGCACGAAGTGCGGCCTCTCGTGCTCACTTGTGCTCTAGACGCACTGTTGCCTCAAGGCTGGCCTTAAAACATACTGGAGAAGGAAGGAACCCAGAAGTTAGCGAAGCACAGAAACTGAGGACATTGGACTTGAGAGGTCAAACTCAGGGTAAGTGATCATATATACTTGTTTCTCTGCTTATAAAGTGTTGACTTGATCATAGATAAATTAAAAGTGAAAAATAAAGCAAAGTGGTAAACTGGGTGACCTTCCACAAAAAGGCAGAATTCACTTATACAGAACAATATTGGAATTTTCATTGTTCTGAGCAGCGGAAGTTGCATTTCAGATTCCTTAGTGAGACCTGTCAGTTGGTCTTCAGTTAAACTTCCATTAAGGTCCTTCAACCGATTTGTATTCTGTTCCTAACCATTTGGTTTCTTAGCTATAAAAGCAATTTCAGCATAGGATATTCCCTGGTGTATGGAGGTTGGTGGATCTGGATGCAGTTTAAAGTTGGGGGTGCAGGCTTGGTTGTCTTCACATCTTTTCTGTGATCTGCTCTCAGTGTCTCTAACATAATCACCATATTTGTCATATTTGATTTACAGCTTCTGGAATAAAACTTGCAGTGATTCCCCCCATTTGTAGACTGAGACAACGAGCAATGAAGGAATGCACCCCAAATTCTGTCATGTCTTGATCTTACATGTCTGTGCACTGTATGGCTTTTGTATGCTGTTCTGTTTTCTTCCCACCTCCACACCCATCCTATCATGAATTTTATGGGTGTGTCAATTGTAAACAGGAAGTAACTAGGAATGTTTCAGTTCTTACCTGTTTTGGTTAGAGGAACACAGTTGGCAAGAAGGAAAAAATGCTTCAGTGTAATATGAAAAACTACAGCACTTTTCCCCTCGTATTCATATAGGCCAAGCTTTGGGAAATAAATCATATAGTTATTTCAGTTTGGAAAAGATGATGGAATATTCTTTTCATTTACAGATCCTGGCCATGAGGTTTGATGCCTCATTTTATTGAAGGGAGACACTGGACCTAAATGGCGCAGCATGACTTTGTTCCTGCCTGGCTTAACTTCTCAACACCACAGTCAACCAAGGTAACATTATTACAGATCACCTCCTTCTGCAGCCATGCCAATAATAAAGAGCATAAAATTGGCCCAGTGTTCTGTTGAATTTCAAGTGTTCAATTTTAACTACTTTTGTGTTTTTACAGAAAGCTTTTGGAAACATACTAAATTGAAAGTAATTTATGTTGTCTGTTTCAGCAAATGTTTCCCTTTGATTCAGAGCAGAAACAATTTTTGTGTTCAGACGTGGAAGTAGTTTCATCCATGTCTTTGTGTTGAGACTTGAGTGAGATTCCAAGTAGAACATCATTAAAGAAATGGCCCTGAATCTGTAGGGGTCAAGACTTAAGCTGCCACTTATTTAAAATTCAGGATATAATTTACATTTGATTTATGAAGGTAATTTGACCCTTGCTGAGTAGGAGATTGATAGTAAGCCCTTGAGCTCTTAACTCCAAACTCAGAAATACTCATTAGTTTTTTGCAACCTTAAAATGAGGCTAGTTTGCCTGTCACCTTCTTTCTAAAACTTGTTCTAGGTGAAGCTTAGGTTGACCCAGAAAGTCTGTTTTGGGAGTTTAACAATTGGTGTTACTTGTGTGGAGAAAAACATTTTAATAGCAGACCAGATCATGATGAACAAGAAAGAATACAGATTTCATCTTCATGCTTAAATATGAGGACACAACTGTGATTTCAGAATATTTGATCCATTTAAAACAAACATCTGAATGTTTTATAAATTAGGAAAAATGAAGAGTAAAAGATTCTTTGGAATCTTAATGCTAGAAGTGTTAGTGTTTTGTATGGCATCATCATTTCAGTACAAAAACTTACTCTAGTATCTCTGAATTTTAGTCAGACTGATTGGATCCTGTGTTCCTGACTACTCTTCTGTCTTTAGAAGGAGTGAAAGAGTGAGCACCTGTGTATCACAGAATTTCTTTAATTTTGCAGAAAGTGTGTGTTTGCAGAGGCTGCTGGTAAGATGAGGGTGTTAGGCTTTCTGATTCTGTGTAGGATACATGGATTTGTGTGCCATTCTGATCAGATTCTCATGATTGACATTGTTGGCTAAGCAAAGCAGATCTGGATTGTGTATTGCAAGCTAGTGCAGAAATGAGGAGTTTGGGATTGTGGGGTTGTTGTGGGTCTTTTTTCAGTTATCAAAATGTAACTATTGAACTGACAGGCTCCTGGAGTGCCTAATGAATGGTTCATTATATCACTTTTTACTTTCTGCAGTCCCCTGCAGCTACCTTTGAGAAACATGGAGAGCATCTTCCACGGGGAGAGGGCCGCTTTGGAGTGAGCCGTAGGAGACACAACTCTTCTGATGGATTTTTCAATAATGGGCCCCTCCGAACTGCAGGAGGTGAGTAGGAAAGGTCATAATGCAGCCTGAGAGCAGACATTTTGCAGTATTCTGCAGAATATTAATAACATTTTCCAAAACTGTACCTGTTCAAAGCCACCTATAAGAAACTTGTGCTATTATCTCCTTCCATGCCGTGTTCAGTCCTAAGGGGTTTCTGTGGTAGCTGTATGTCCATTGTGTAACTTGGTTTCTGATATAATCAGGTAGTATCTTAGTAAGTTTAGCCTAGTAACTACTTAGTGAACACTGACTTAACAAGAAAAACAGCGTGATATTTCCAGTGTTCTGCACAGTGTGTTGACCTTTTTATTTGCATACTTATCTCCTTTTGTTTAGACTGCTGGCATCAGCCGTCCCTTCTCCGCCATGATTCTGTAGATTCTGGTGTTTCTAAAGGAGCTCATGTTGGGCTTTCTGGCAGTCAGCCTGGCTGGCATGGTTCCTCACGGGGCCATGATGGTATGAACCAGCGTGGTGGAGGAGGAACTGGAGTTCATCGCCACTGGAATGGCAACTTCCACTCTCGAAAAAGTTCCGCCTTTCAAGAAAAGGTGCCTGTTGAATCCAGGGAGGAGAAGAAAGAAGATAAAGAGCAGTTGCAATTTGAAGAAGAAGACTTTGTAAGTGTGTAGCTTCTCAGTAGAGGTGGCAGCTATGAGAAGTAGCTTTTCCAATCTCATTTTTATTAGCATTGAAAGATGGTGAGGATCTACAGTGGCATTCCATTATCTGCTTGAGATCACAACAGATTTAATTAAATTATTCCTGTGCTGGAAGAATGCTAATTGGTACCCAGAGTCCTCAGGACTTTGACTTGTTGGTTTTGGCACATGACTATATTTTGCAAAATGGTTATTGTGAACTGAAGACAGCATTTTAACACACAAACCAAATCTTCAGTGAAACACATATGGTGACACTTTGGTCTGCTACAAGAAAAGCAGTTGTATATGGAGCCCTTTTTGGCTCCTAAGTACTTCTATTCAACTTATATTCAGTCTGCCTGTTCCTGTCTTACGCTTTCTGGTATGTGTTGATGTTTGTGATAACCTTCACAAGCTTGTTCATGACATGCTCAGATGTTTTCAGCCATCTATTGTGAATCTTCTGGATTAGTATTTTGTTATCAGAGATGTTTCCCTGTCTCTGTTGATCTGTGGATCAGGGTTTCTTGAGTCACTTAGTCCATCAGTATCTCCAGTTCATCAGCTTTATTCTGACCCAGCATTCTGTCTCACATGTTACTATTGATATAATAGTCTCTTACATCCTGTCTCTATTTTAGTGCAATGTCTTTGTTTTTCAGACTTAGTACTTAGGACCTACAGCTTTCATCCTTACCATATGCTTTCCTTGATGCTAATGCTTTGCATATATACACCTTTTCTGCTTTCCCATCTTTTTTTTTTTCCTCCCGGTTCCTGATTTTACTGTCATCAGACCATATGTTTTGCTTTTTGCATCTTGTTTCTTGCTCTCTCTAGGCACCTCTTGACCAGTGTAATGAGGCCAGGATCCTCTGTAAGGCTGTGATTGCTCAGTCCCTCCCTTCACCTGAAGCAATTCCTCCCAACTTCAATGTTCAATTCATTGCTGCCTACAATAATGAGAATTTCTAGTGATAGTCTGCACCTTGCATGTATTATCTTGAGCTTTTTGCTGTCTTACTCAGTTTTTCTCTCTGGAGGGCTGTTAACAGCTGAAATTTTTGTGGCAGTTTAGTGGCACTGCCTCTATTCAGGAAGTTAGGAATTGGAGTGAAATACATGAATGCTGCTTCAGGCCAAAATCTCGAATCTCCTCTTAAATTGCCTCAGAAACCAGTTTAAGCTGCTGGGTTTTTTTTTTCAGTGAAGTACCTGGGGAGTGTTGAACTCCTCTAGGAGTGGTGTCCTGCATCATAGGATGGTTAACACCTGGAGGGAAATGATAAATTAGCTTGTGCGTAGATTTCTGTTAATCTTATTTCTCAGTAATACTGTAATTCAGGATTTCTCTAAGATGCTTCTTTCAGACTGTCAAAAACCTGTTGAAATGTAGAAAGGTTTTGTAACAATTGCAACGTTGCACTGTTGTAGTCTTATCTTGGTCTAAATCTTTCTTCCATGTACTTCTTTATTCTCTTATTTAGTTCCTTGATGAGTGCCTTTCCCAAACTAAATGGCTGTTTCTTCTGTAATTACTGTCTCCCCCCATGTTTGTTTGTTTTTTTAAGATGATGGTACTGTGTAGCAGGAAGCTTTGCTAAATAACTCCTATATTGTTTTTGCCACAGTCTTAAATTCTCCTGTGGTGTGAGCACCTCTGCTGTAAAACTGACCTGTAACTAAAAAATGAAGCACTGAAACAGAGGAATTTCTAGGGTCTGAGGCAGGAATTTATGCTATGGTGTTGCATTTTTTCCTAACTCTTATAGAACGGGAATGCCTACTATTTCAGAAGCTTATTGTTGGAGACTTACCCTGTCACTATAATAACTAACATATGAAGAATTTATTAAAAAGGAAAAAATTGCTTTATTTTGCACTGAAGTTATTTGGGATGGGGGAAGAGGAATAGCTAATCAAAAACTCTTACTGAATGCTTAAAGTTTCTGCCTCAAGCTTGAACACATCCTTAGTTGTTTCACTAACTTGAATTCTGATAGTGAATCAAAGATAAATGTGCTTGTAGTATTGTCTTGAAGAGTGTCCTCTGAAGCTTAACATAAATTTACCTGTAGATTTTTTTGTCAGTAAATGTACATTTATTTATTTATTTATTTATTTTTACATTAGGAGCCTAGTATTGCTTTGGGAGCTTTTTATTGGTTAATGCATACTTATTGTATAAAAATATTTGGGAAATGAGACTAGAGGCTTCGTATAATCTGGATTCTGTTTTCTATTTTGAGCTGTTGATTGAATACCTTAATCTTGTGTGTATTGGTTGGTAGAATCTTATTAATCATATAGTTAAAAGACTAAAGAGTCCATCCTGAACCCTCTGATAGTTCTGTTGGAAATACAGTAGAAGCCAAGGAGAAAACAATGATTTGGAAATGACTTGTGACAAAGCACTATTGTCATTTGGGTGCTGTTCAGAGAAATCTGCTTGTACTCTGGGTTCCTAGAAGCATAATGTTATGTTAATACTGAATTTTTTGTTGTTGTTGTATGCAGTATAATGATACACTTATTTGCGTTTTCCTTTTACAGCCATCTTTGAATCCAGAAGCTGGAAGACACAATAACCAAAACAAACCTTTAGGAACACCTTCTGGAGTATGGGGTAGGTAAAGGTTTTTACATTGCTGTAAAGAATGTTGAAGCAGAAAGTTGTAACTTTATGTTAAAATGCTGGGGTTGTCTGCTCAAAAAGATTTTAAAGACTTAAGTGAAGCAGTTGGCAGCTTTCCCTCCTCTCCCAGCCTTCACTAATCTCTTGGCATTTTTGTCCACTTTCAACTGTGCTTGTCTTGTCATAGAAAAACTGCTGGTGGCAGTAATGTCACTGCATTTGCTTCCTGTCTTCCTGCAGTTACAACTTCATGAAGTCATCACTTGAAGGGCAAAGCAGAATTGAGTGAACCTAGATGTTAGTTCCTGACTAATGATCTTTGTATTAGAAATACAGCAAAACTGTCATAATTATCTGGCTTGGATTTGTTTGCTTTTTTTAAAACTTGGAACAGGCTTTTGATTCTGCTGTGAAATGTAAATCTATGTATTTTTAAAAAAAACAGTGAAACAAAGTAACAGTTCTAGCAACTAAATACAGGCTTGTTAATCTCGTTAAAATACGCCTAGATTAGTTGGGTTAGATATTGTAATTAGTACAAATTTCAAAAAAGAAAATGGTTTTTTCTATAGTACCAGCTTGTATTCTTTTTGTATGTTTGTTAGGTAGCTATTGTTCTGCTCAAAAACTGATAACAATTAGCCTTTATGGGGCTTTTAACCATTTATACTATTCCTGTTGTTAAGTTGTTCTGCTCTTGACAATGTGTTGATTTGGCCTAAGAAATATTTATTGTGCTTGTTTGGAAAAGCAATGTGTCTTTTGAGTTACAAGATATGCAAAGTATTTTTGCTGTGTTAGTGAATTAACAAAGCTGATCCATAATTGCTAAAAAAAAACCCAAAAACGCTGCTGGCTGTTCTGATTCCTCTAATGTGGTGGAAGGCAGTTAGCTGATGTCACTGTAGGTTTTTCCCTTCAAAGATTGGACTCTGACATCCTTATCCAGGATCTTTGCTCAAAGCTGAAACGAAATACAGCTGATAGCAGCCTCAGATTCACATGTGTAGCAGTAAGATTGAGAGGGTACAGTATACTGAAGCTGATATGAAACTGAACCTTCGTAATTCAAAATCTTCCTTGTTTCATTTTTACAGAAAACCCCCCTAGTGCCAAGCAACCTACCAAGATGCTGGTCATCAAAAAGGTTTCAAAAGAGGATCCTGCTGCCGCCTTCTCAGCTGCATTTACATCACCTGTTTCTCACCTGGCAAATGGCAACAAAGCCACCACCATTGTCCCAAGTGTCTACAAAAATCTGGTTCCTAAACCTGCAGCTCCTCCTTCCAAGGTACAGGGGGTTTCCAACCAAGTTAGTGAACTTGGGAATAAGCCCCTAACAACTAGCAGAAGTTGGAATCCAGTAGTTTCTGGGATAGTGGCCTTTACAGGAGAGGTCTGTTTACTACTAACATTGTTGTTCTTTGCTAAAATGCCATTTGGTCCTGTCCATACAGAGAACTAACCTCTCTTCTGACTATACTAACCTCTGTTTGAATGGGTGTGTTCTCATCCATTAGACAAATCCTTATCTTAATTAGACAAAACAAGCAGTGCTGGAGAAGTGGAATGTGTGCTGCCATGTGCACGTGACTACCTTGAAAAATCTTCATTGAGTTACAGTACTTTGATGTGTTTAAAATGCAATTGAGGCTAAGATCAGATTAGATTGTAACATCCTGCAATTTAGCTCTAATTTAGTTGAGCCTTAAAGACAACCTGGAAAAATAATGGGTTTTGTACTGTAATTCATTTACTGAAATAAGCAGAAGTGTTGAAAGAACAAATAGGGAGTTTTTTGCTTGGTTCTAAGCTTTATCTAACTCATTTTTTCCAGAGAATCTGAATGTATTGATGTTCTAGAAACTTTAAAATTGATAGTGAAAATTATTTGCTAGGCTTTTCTTTAAAAACGTATGCAAATACTTTGAGTTCTAAAATTTAATACTGGCTGTAACATTAAAAAAAAAATCTTTCCAATTATTAAAGTAGATTAGTCTTGCACGCTTAAAAGATAAAAGCAAAATAGGAAAGAAGAAGGAGTTTTTTGTAAGAAAGCAAGTTTAGAGCTTCTTCCTCTCTTTCTAAGCTTCTCTTCATTCAGGCCAAATTTTGCCAACTACACGAAAATCATAGTGGTTAAAATCATTATCAGATTGTCTGCTGGTGTCATCAACAGGCTTTTGTTAATGGACAGTGACCACTGGCAAAGCTAAAAGGTGGGAGGTCAGCATATCTTTAGGCTGATAAACTGTGTGTGGGATGCCTTTTTTAAAGGTACAGACATAAAGCAGGTGTGGTAGGATGCATAATTTTGAAGACTAAAGTTTAACAGAAGTTGCAGTGTATAAAGTAGCAGAGGGATCAAAACATTCCGTTGGACAAAGTCAAAGCTGTCACAGGCAAACTGAATGAAGTGTGTTTTTGCTAAGTTGTACCAAGTAGTATTGAAAGGAAGAGAACTGGTGGCAGTGAAACAAGTGCGTTCTTTCTTGGCTGATTGAGATGACTAATTGTTCACAGTCGAACAATCCATGAAGGTCATAATCTGCAAATGATTCTGTTTGATAGTCAGCTCCAGTTGTGCTTCAATTTAGTGGCCTCCCTAAGAAAGCAGCAGGGGTCTGTCTGTGGATTTGTCTGAGCTGCCCCTTTGTGGAAGCTGGGAGAACAACAGTCAGGAGCTGACTGGGTCAGTTGGGTATCCAAGCACTTCAGCCACTGGATCCGCCGAGAAAGACTTCCTGTCATAGGAATTCTGCACTCTCATTTTAGTACCAGGAGACGTTGTGCATACAGAGATATTTTCTGGGTTTGAAGGGAATGTTTGGAATGAGTGCTGTGAATCCTGAATAATCAATTCTGTCATGTGGACTGCTCTTGTTTTTAAGTTGGAGTGGAAGAGCATTGTGGATGGCTTCCTCTACTGATTTATTTATTCTAAAATTAATAAAACAACTCAGTGGAGAGTTAGAACATACTGAAAGAATGGCTCCTGCTGTACTTGCTTGCAGGAGGCAAGATCTGTGTGTCTCAGATTTAACTCATGCAGTAATTATTTGCTAGGGACTTTTTAGGAAGCAAAGTAGGCTTCATAATTCTAATGGCTAAAAGGAACAAGTATAGTTTAGTGCTCTGACAAGTGTATTTCTGGTGCTATTTGATAGAAGTTTCTTGTTTGGATCCTTTTTGTAAAGACTCACTTCACAGTGCTTGTCCTTGGTTGATAAGAAAGGTGCAGAAATAACATTCCAAGTAACAAAAACTTATCTTGAAGCCTTTGCTTTTCAGCCAAATCACCAGTGTATTTGAAGGGATACTGCAGAGACTATCCAGAGCAAAATAGCAAGTGCTCATGAACTTCAGTGAACTGATTTTTTTCTTTTTTTCTTTCTTCTTCTGTTATTGTTGCTGAATCAATGCAGTGATGGACACTTTCAGAGCTTCTCCCTTGCACAAGGGAAGTTCCTGTTAAGTGATGCCAACCCTTTCTTTGTGGTACACTGTTCCCATATGAAATGTGAATTCAGTTGAGATTTTTTACTTCCCACCTCTGGGTAGATGTAATGTGCATTGCTTTACACAGTGTTGATTCCAGTAAATGAAGAGCAAGGCTGGATTTTCTCTTTGAGCTCTAATGGTGTTTCACTGGAGGGTGGTGTCCATGAAGTAGAATTGTGTGTGGTTTGGGGAAAACAGAAGATGGGGAACAAACAATAGGTGTCAAAGTAAATTTCTTGAGAGTGTTCTTGGAGAGGGGAGGAAACAAAAATCTTTACAACAGTCAAAAAAATATTGATTTGTTTTACTACTTGCAAGCAACCTCTTGTGCCTTACAAAATACTCAACAGTGAATGTGTTCTCTTCAATCTAGCCAAGCCCATGGAAGGCCAACAGAAGTGAACATAAACCAGGCTCGCTTTCCTCCAGCCGTGACTCTGCCTTTACCAGCCCAGTGTCTGTAACCAAACCAGCGGTACTGGCGAGTGGCTCAGTCCTCACCTCTCCCAAAGAGGTAAGGGGTTGGGTTTGGGAGTAGAGTGGGAACTTTTATCACTGTCACCTACCATAGCTTAAATATGATAAAGTCCTCTCTGTATATGGTACACCTGCCTTGATACCCCTGAAGAATGACTCACATGTATGTTACTAGCATGTTCTGCCACATCTCTTATACATTAGAATTAAAAATGTGGTTTACCTGGATGTAAAGCTGCCTGAATGTAAAGCCATTGGTGTTTGTCCAAATGTATTAGAATTTCCCTCCAATATTTTTTTAAAAGTGCTAATGCTTTAAATAGTGATGCATAACTAGACATCTGTAAACTTGGTGTTATAGAGGAAGGGTAATCTTCCTCATTTCCTTTCTCAAGGAGGGTAACAGCACAAGCAATGAGCTCTGAGAGGGTTGAGGGGAGTTAATCTATGTTCATGTATCTTCAGCTTCAGTGTCTGTTTTTAATTTTGGTGTTGGAAGGAGGTGAGATGGAAACAGATTTACCTCCACTTTTGGTTTTAAGTATGAAGAGAACCTTACATATGAACCTGTTAACATTTCAGCAGCATTTTGCCCAACATTTCTGTGCCTCACTTAATAGCTTATATACAAAATGCTGTTTTGGAGCTTGAAATCCACAAAGCTCAATAGAAAAATGACACTGAATAACTTTTCTCCTCTGCTTCTGGGAATCAAGCTTCAACAGGTTTGTGATCTTATGTAAAAAGAGTAATAAAAGAGACTGTGTTAAGTGACGTACTCGCATAATTTAAAATTAGTCTGTTTGCATTTAAATGTAACTTTGGGTTTTTTTCCTAGTTGTGTATTTGTATTTTTCCTTCACACCTTCACAGATTTTATTTTGGAAATAAGACTTAGTAATCTTTATGGTTCTCTGCTTTGCAAGCTTTAATTTGCAACAGTCTGTACTTAGCTGCTTTAGCTTTTGCTGAGTGTAAAAGCAATTATTAAAAGCAATAGTTAACAAGTATGCAGCTGACAGTTTGACAAATAGATCTTGCACTGTATTCCCCAGTAGGCAGCTGGGTTTTCCCCAGAACAAGCAGTCCTTCCTTTAATAATTCCTGTATTACCAGCATTAATCAACTAAATAAAAAGGGCTTAAAAATTCCTCACAAGTAAAATCTAAACACTTGTAATATATTTTTCTTTGAATGTGTTGGAGGCATGCAGTATGAAAACACAGATCCATGGCCAGCAAATACTGCAGTAATCCCAGCTCCATAGGCCTACTGCCAGTAATCTCTGCCTTTTAATTTCTGAAATGGGAATCATGCCCTTCCTGCAGAAGTGTTGGAAATAGCACCTTTATTTGTGAGAGATCACAGTGTGTTGACAACTAAAAGGCTGCCAGCTAGCACTGGCACATGACCCCATGAGATGGTCCAAGACAACCAAATTAAGATATAGTCTGAATTCTTAAATTTATACAGAATGACTTTGTGGTTAGAGTAAGCACCCCTGTTAAGCAGACTGGTATCTGAGATCATCCATAGTACCCCCCTTTAAAAACAAAATCTGAGAGATGTTTCAGTCAAAGAGCTAAACCTACCTTCCTAGGAAAGATACCAAAAAATGCCTACATATCCTTTTTACAGAACACTCTCTTAGTGTTATAAAGCCTTCTACAGGAAGTTATTAATAAAATCAGAATCGAGATAAAATTTAATTTATTTTCAGAACTTTTTCTAAACTTTAGCTTTAACTGTCTTCATCTAATTTGTACAAATTAAGTTTTAGTACCTCAGCAGCTCTATACAGTGCTATTCAAACAGCTACTTCTAGGAAAGAGCTCAAGAGCTTTTAGTATAGGATTCCAAATCACTAGAACACATCTAATTTTTAGTCTTTTGTTCCTTATTATCTTCTGTCACTACAGTCAAGCTAATTACCATGTTGAGAGCTTTAATTTCAGTCCTATGCTAGCTTTTTATCCTAATATTCACAGTCACTTGTTATGTCTTTTACAATAGCTGATTTGTTCCTTACTCCGTTGAATTAGACAAAATCTGTGAAGGCCACTTGAGAAATGTTTACAGTAAGATACTGCTTTCAGCCTGTACTTCCCTGAAAGGCATCGTTCCACACTAGTGTTTCATATGCAGGCATTTGATTTTAATTTTCATGTGCAGCAGTTGCTGCCTTGTTTTTGTTTGCTGAATATTTTTGTTCTCTAGATCTTTGCTCAGAGCACCTTGAGTATGATAAAAATACTTTGTTACAAAGGAGATTAGTTTTTAAGAGCCTGAATTTTCAGCCTTTTCACCCTAGTTTAAAAAAAAAAAAAAGGTGTGTGGAGAGAAAAACACTACAGGCTTTAGGAAATTTTCCTCTATTTTAATATTGCAGGGAAAACAGTAACAACAATAAAGCAGGTAAGTGAAGGAAAAAAGGAAGATAATACATGCAAGATTCTAGTGTCAAGTGTCCACATTAATGACTAGATTCCTCATTGTCTTAGAGTAGCCAGACATGAACTCCATATATGAGCTGGAGGTTAAGATATTGGGAGCTTTCACCTGACATGATTTTAGATTTCTTTTGATGTTCAGTCAAAATGATGGAACAAATGAAATTGAAAGTTCATCTTGGTCAGTCATGTTTTTATTGCAGTGTTGTGGCTGGGGTGCTGCTGATGTGCAAACTGTTGTGCCTGACGCCTGATTCACAGACTCAAGATAATTAAGGAAGCTTAAACACTGTGGAAGAGTGTGGGAGGTTACCTTGGGTTCATGAATGGAGCTGATTTCCCACAGGCTCCAGGGTTGTCTGTGCCTGGCTCCACACTGACCCAGCTGGGCTGTGAGTGTACATGGCACGGAACCAGCAGCCTGCTCTTCAGGGGAGGACACTGAGGCTATGGGTACCTGTATTTCACAGCTAGCTGTGGTTAGTTCAGGATGTAACCACTCCCTGGAAGGAGATTACCACCCCATAGCTTAATTTCAGGGTAGTGTCTGTCAGACAAATATTAATTGAGCCTAATTAATTTTTAAATTTTTCTCGAGTAAGAGTCCTGCATGAAGTTCTCTGCCTTAATATTCTGTTGTGGGCTCCAGCATTGCTGGAGAGAGTTAGATTAAGGAACAGAATACATGTATTTCTGGCCATGTGACTTCATTCCAAGGGGAAGAAAAAATTAAGACTCAAAAATGATAGGTGGGAGAACAGTGTGCTGGTAAGGAAGGTGAGTGTGCAACCCTAGTGAGTATTTTCATGCGAATCTGAAATTACGGGTTTCTGAGGGGCTAAGAGCCAAAGAACCGATGAATGTTTGAAAGGTGTAAGCACAGGTTTTGAAGAGGGAGGGCACAAGTACACTTTGGAAAGTCTCTAATGTTCTACCTTCCCTGTCTAGAGTCCTTCCAGCACCACCCCTCCCATTGAGATCTGCTCTTCGCGCCTGACGAAGCTGATGCGCCGTACCACTGATAAAAAGAGCGAGTTCCTGAAGGCACTGAAAGATGATAGGAATGGGGAGATAACTGAGAACAGAGAGTGTGACAAGCTGGATGATGTAAGATCTCTGTCCTTACTGTATATATTGTCACTGGGTATTTAAGGAGTTGGGTACTGAAAAAAAAACACGACAGCGCAGTGTATGTAGATCAGGCTCTGGAGGAGGAAAGGAATGACTTCCATTGGTCTGGCTCACATGCCAGCAGAAGCAGAGCACAGCAGTGTGATGAAGGGAGGTTCCTAACTTGATGAAATAGAAATAGAGAAGTAGTAGAGGACGTGGAAGGGAAGGCCACAGATGTTGAAGGTAATCTGGATTTTTGCAAGAATTTTAGTGGAGTAATACTATATTTTATCTTAATTTGTTTTCAAACTTCCTTGTCAAACTCTGTCCACAGGAAAGTTGAATTTAGTGCTTGTGAGAGGTGCAGGGTAGTGGCTCAAGCCTCAGAGGCTTGCACCACATTTCTAAATGCATAAGTCTGGCTTAATGTGGTTGTAAAGGCCATCCTTAGGAGTATTTCATTTTCATACTGTTCCTACTCTCACTCTGAAGCCCACTGATGATGACTTTGTAGCACCAGCATGTACTCCCTTGACACAAAAGCAGCATCCACCAAATGTAATTCATACTGTGTTGTCTTGTCACAGGTAGGAGTTGTTTTCAACCATTATCAGTCTGGGCTCTATAAAAAAACACAGATTGAAGGTGAAAGGTTTTAATTCCAGAAGCAGAAGCTTGAACTTGGAACTGTGCTATTGGCATGCCCTGTGCAAGCACACTTTGATGCTTTTAATTTTCTTTAGATGGAGAGCAACAGCACACCAGAACCAAAGGAAAACTGGGAAGAGAACTGCCATCAGAATGGGCTTTCTCTCCCTTTGCCGGAGGAGGGGGAAAACCTTTCCCATTCGTTGGAAGCAGAACACAGGTGAGTAAATGGCAAAAAAAGGTGTCTGGGAGTGTAGAAAAGCAAGCCCTTGGACTGAGTGAGGAGAAGGAAACTGTTTCAAACTCTCCAGGAAGCAGCAGTAGCTTTGTGTGTGCTGAGCTAGAGGTAACTAGTGCCAGACCAGGTGGAGTGATACTAAATAATAAACCAAGAAAATAAACCAAGAAACTGATGACAGCAGAGCCAAGATACTGCCACAGTGTATAATTAAGTTCCTGCACTTCTCTAGTGCCACATCCCTATATGTTAATGCTGCCTAGATATTTACCTGCCCATGTGCATAGTGAGCACAAACTTAGTGTGATTCTGGTTCATTTACAAGCAGGTGTCTTAAATGGAATGGTCTGAAGGCTGGAGATAAAACCTTACATCAACATAGCACTTTCTGTCTAAACTTACAATACTCCTGTGCTGCTTTAAGTACTGTAAAAGTGGGGGAGAGTTAAGGAAATATTTACCTAATATTTCTGCTTGTATCTCAGTTCAGTGAGTAAACAATGTGTGAGCATCTGGTGTAAACAGATAGTAAGTTTTAGGAGAATCCAGAGCTAAGATACTGGTTTAATTGTCTTATATCCTCCTTCAGTGTCCTTGGGTAGAATTGCAAATCTCTGCCTTGCTTTCCTTCTGCCAGTCTAGTTATTTACCCATTGTGCAGGTCTGCTGATGATTAAATATTTGTAAAAGAACACTGAGTATGAAAAATGTTGGATAAACATAAAGCATTGTTGAAGTGATCTGTAATATAGAAGATTCCCTGGGGAATTGGGAAATCTTGTGCTTCATGGACAGAATGTTCTCTCCTTTGCCATTTTTCCCTTGCTTTAATTCCTGTGCCTCTTACTTTCTTTGCAAATCAGGTTATTGAAAGAAATGGGATGGCAGGAATATCCTGAAAATGATGAGAACTACCTTCCCCTCACGGAGGATGAGCTCAAAGAGTTCCAAATTAAATCAGAGCAGGTATGTTTACAGCTCTGGCCACTTGTAACTGCTCTTCTCCCTCTCCCTTCTTATGAACAAGTCTTCTGTGGTGTAATTCTAAGGATGTTCTGTAAGACAAAGCATTGAAGTGAGATTGTAGTGCAGTTGATGACTGTTACCTATGCACATCGTGTGTATACAGTTAAAATATTTGTGTTCACAAATGGTTAGTAACAGTTACCCTCTGCATTTTTGCTTGTTTTAAAACTTGCTTTCGTTCCTACAGCGAAGAAGAAACGGATTTGGGAAGAATGGATTTCTTCAGGGCCGCAGCTCCAGCCTGTTGTTCCACTGGAGAAGCACTTTTAAGACAAAGATTGAGGACTCAGACACAGAAACTAGTAGCAGCGAAACATCAGATGACGATGCCTGAAAGTGGGCACAAGAAAATTAAAATCAATAAAACCAACCCAATAAACTCAGTTCATAGTTCAACATGTGTTTGGGGTTGTATAAACTAAACAGAGTTTATTCTGTCTCCAGTCTGTTCAGTTGTTTTTTTTTTTCTTTTGTTGTTGATACTTCATGCACAAGGGAAATAATTGTATCCCAAAGAAGAGAGAAATTGGCTTCTTTAGCTTTTTCTTTTGGTTTTGCCCTAATGCTTAATAGAAGTTTGTGCAGCTAGCAAATTTTGACAAAAATCCCTTGTGGGGCAAGTGCACAAGTTCAGTCTTGTAAGCAGGATACAAGTGGCTGACTGATCTTTGCAACAAGCTTCTAACAGTGCCGCCTGCATTACATAATGTCGTGCGGTAACAGTGTGCTAAAACAATCATTGTCAATGACAAAATGGCTATTGAAGTTCTAATTATGTTAAATTAATGCTAATAACATGAATATTTTTTTTATTTTATTTTTTTTTTGGCGGCTCGGGGAGCTTCATCACTTAACCAGGCGTTTGTGGTTTTCTTTTTTTGGGTACAGCTGTAAAATATTTGGATATAGGAATTGTTTGTGTTCTTCTTCTTGCAGCCTTGATATTCAGGGTGGATTGTAAAATATAAATTTTTTGTGAGATTTCAAAGATTAAGATTATTTTGATAACATTATTTACAGATTTAAAAAAAGTGACTATCACATTGAGTCTGTATGAGGGGGAAAAACTACTGCATCAAAAATAACTAACTTGGAATAAATATTTTGCATCAGTTTGCCAATTCTAATTGTCTTTCTTATGTAAGAAAAGCTTTCCTCTAAAGGGACCTGCAACTTTGGGGGTTTAATAGCACTGGGGATAAATAGTTTCTTCTCCGCTGTATTTTTCCACTTGGCAAACATTGCTGTAGCACTCAGACTGCAGGAGCTAAACTCTTCCTTTAAGAAGGGAGAGGGAGAACAATGGTGAGATGATAGCCTCTGTTTGTTTGTTGTTGGGTTTTTTTGTTTGTTGTTGTTTTTTTTTAATGAAAGAAAATAATTCCAATTATCTCCCACTGAAGCAGTTTGCTTTTTTTTTTTTCGCTTCATACAAAATCGTGAAGCTCGACTGGTCGGTGTCACTTGTTCCTAGTGCAATGCTGCTGTTTATGTTCACAACGTGGCAAGGGAATGTCTGAATCCAAAGCTGTTTTCATTGAACTCTTTTTTAAAAATTCATGAAAACATTTCTATTAGATTAAAAAGGATTTTACAAACAACTCAGTTGTGGCCTAAGCTATTTCAGTGTCTGTTTTAAGTTCAGCTTGTACACAAATGTTTTGGATTGGAAAGTACACGCATGGTTGTGCACTGTTTGCAGGAGGGCTGGATGCAATTGCACATGGAGTACAAAATCCTGTCTTGCTGACCTGGGGGGATTTTATCTGAGGTCTTGCTTGGATTTTTTTTAATCCACTCCTGGCCAGGCAGAGAAGTGTAATAGAATTTTAATGTTTAGCTGTGAATCTTTGCATCTGAACTCCAGGAATGCTCTCGGCGACACCAGGTGTAACTCTGCTACTTGTGCTCTTAGTTCCCACTGACACTGGGACATTGTGCTGCAGTTGACCCCTTGGGGGAGAGGGGCAAGGGGTGTTTATTCATTGCTGCTGTCTGGAAGCCAAGCTCCAGTTGCTGTGTCTGTCTGGGGATGCTTGAGGGAGTGCTTGGACTCCTGTACGACATTTCACAGCTCATCTAGTTCCTGTGGAAGGTCCTACCACTTTGGTCCCATTAAACGTCTTTTCTCTGGAAAAGTTTATATTTTTTTTATTAGCTTCCTACATCCTTTTAAGTGAAAAATTATGTGGAAGTGTTTGTGATTTTGACAAGAAGGGGGTAAAGTTTTTTAAATTCCTTCATATCACATCCATACTGATAAGCACTTTTAATGGACAAACTGGTTTGCTGAACAATTCCTGGCTAGAGGCAGAACCCTGCCTAATGTGGGACGGGACAGCACAGCCGGATGTGTGTGCTGAGCTCCTGCTGTTCTGTTCCAAAGGCTGTGCCCCAGCCCTGTGAGGGGATGTATGTGGTTTAAGCATCGATTAAACTGTCAAAGTGTTACCGCCTCTGGGAGGGTCTAATTGAGCAAATCCCCACAGATCGAACGGCAGCTTTTTCCTGAGGAAATCACTGATGATCTGCGGCTGGTATCGCGGGCAGCAAAGTGGGAGGGTGACCCGCAGCACCCTGCGAAGATCCTGTGGATGCTCAGCGTGCCAAGACAGGCGCAAGGACGGAAGGGGGGGAGCTGTTTTTGGGAAGGGATGGGGCCCTGGACACCTGTGGCAACAAAAGGGGGATAGAAGGAGCTGTTTCCATCTCGGTGTGGAGGTTGCTCGTTACCTTCTGCTGCGGGCGGCTGCTGCAAGAAGCCCTGTGCAAGCAGCACAGGAGCGCGGTGGGGGGACAGAGCAGCCTCTTGCTGCTGGCGGGGCCTCCCCCGCCTTGTTTTTCCGTGATTGCGCAGGTGACCGAGCAACATCTTTCCCCTTTTCACCGTGGCAGTGGTAAACACTGGGGAATCGCCAGGGCTGCGGCCGCCCTGCCCTGCCCTGCCCGGCCCCGC